CATATATAATTCATATTCGAGCGTTCTTTTTCACTTCATATATTCGTTAGAATAATAATACGACAACAAAGTTGGAAGAGCCAGTTTATCCCTATGTTATCTCTTGTTTTGATAATTTGTATTTATGTATTATATTATTTTGTTATTTCATTTCATTTCTAACCACAATTCAACTATTTTTACCCAAAATCAAACACATTAACTTGAAACAAGACCAAATAACCAATGTTTTCTCTTTTTTTAAAATAATAAATGGTATTTCCATATGTTTGGTACATAAATCACAAAATGAGCGATTTTAAAATGAGCGATTTTAGGGCTGACATGCAAAACAAAAGGTCACGTGACTCCGCAATTATACGTCCGATTTTCAACAAAAAAATGTTTCAAAAGATGCGTAAGACTCGAAAGAAAAAAGTCATGAAAGAAAAACTTTATATCTGCCGCGGTTCCGGAGTAGTCGCGAAATTACTAGAGAGCACTAATCTTTTTTGGGGCCCTCAAAAATTTGAAAAATCGTACCCCCCCCCCCCTTGAACGCCAGGGGGGGGGGGGGGTATCTCCCAAAAACGGTAAAAATTAACGTGTTTTTTTTACACGTTTTTTTCACAGGGCGGAGCCCTCAGAAGCTCAGGGGTATTAAACATCAAAATTAACGTCGGATGCGCCTAATTTTATACCTTATTTGTGACAGTGGCAGGACACAATTTGGTGTTGGGTCCAGGGGGCCGAGCCCCCAGAAGCTCAGGAGTTTTGTCCATCAAATAATTATTATTTTATACCTTATTTGTGACACAGGGGTCACGAATTGGCGTGGGGTCCAGGGGGTGGAGCACCCGGAAGCTCAGGGGTTTTGGGCAATAAATAACGGTCAGATGAGCATATTTTTATATCTATTTGTGACACTGGAAGGACACAAATTGGTGTTGGATCCAAGGGGCGGAGCCCCAAGAAGGTGAGGGGTTTTATACATCAAATTATCGTCAGATGAGCATATTTATATATATTTGTGACACTGGCAGAACACAAATTCTTCTTCCTCTTCCTCTTCTTTCTTTCCTTTTATCTTCTCTTTCCCTCTCCTTCTCCAACATAAGATGCAAGACGGAAATATATCGACTCACCTTCTTCCCAAGAACCATACGGGCCTGGAATTTACTTCCCCCCCCCCCCCCCCCAGCATCTTTGCCTGCGACGCAGTCGATACCGTCAAAGCCAGACTCTGGGAAGCCATCCAAGGGGGTAATATAATCATAGTCCCTCCCCACAACTGCAATGTGATGGGACTTAATTCTAAAATGTTCTAGAAGCAACAGACACTCTCTCTCGAACGATAACGTTCTTATTGGTCATCTTTATATCCCTCTTGAGGATCAGGACCAGGATCAGAACAGATTCTCTCTCTCTCTCTTATTTATTTTTTGGCGGGGGGGGGGGGGGGGAAGGGATGAGGCAAGAGCCCTTCGCCCCTGTTTCCCTCTTTTCTTATTCTTTTTCCTCTTCTTTCTTTCCTTTTATATTATCTTTCCCTTTCCCTTCACTCTCTCTCTCTTATTTATTTTGTTGGCGGGGGGGGGGGGGGGGGGGGGGGAGCCCTCCGCCCTTCCCCCGTTTCCCTCTTTCCTTCTTATTCCTCTTCTTTCTTTCCTCTTATATTTTCTTTCCCTCTCCCTTCTCTCTCTCTTATTTATTTTTGGCGGGGGGGGGGGGGGGAGGGCAAGAGCCCTTCGCCCCCGTTTCCCTCTTTTCTTCTTCTTCTTCCTCTTCTTTCTTTCCTTTTATCTTCTCTTTCCCTTTCCCTTCTCTCTCTCTCTTATTTATTTTGTTGGCAAGAGCCCTTCGCCCCTTTCCCTCTTTTCTTATACTTTTTCCTCTTCTTTCTTTCCTTTTAGATTTTCTTTCCCTCTCCCTTCTCTCTCTCTCTCTCTCTTATTAATTTTTTTGGCGGGAAGGGGGGGGGGGGGAAGTAAGAACCTTTCGCCCTTCCCCGTATCCATCTTTCCTTCTTCTTCTTCTTCTTTCTTTCCTTTTATATTTTCTTTTCTTTTCCCTTCTCTCTCTCTCTCTCTCCTATCTATTTGTTGGCGGGGGGGGGGGGGGGAGGAGGCAAGAGCCCTTCGCCCCCGTTTCCCTCTTTTCTTCTTATTCTTCTTTCTTTCCTTTTATATTCTCTTTCCCTTTCCCTTTCCCTTCTCTCTCTCTCTCTCTCTCTCTCTTATTTATTTTTTTTGGTGGGGGGGGGGGGGGGGGTGGGGGAGGGCAAGAGCCCTTCGCCCCCCGTGTCCCTCTTTTTTTCTTTTTCCTCTTCTTTCTTTTCTTTTATCTTCTCTTTCCCTTTCCCTTCTCTCTCTCTCTCTCTTATTTATTTTTTTGGCGGGGGGGGGGGAGGGAGGAGGCAAGAGCCTTTTGCCCTTCCCCCATTTCCCTCTTTCCTTCTTCTTCTTCTTTCTTTCCTTTTATATTTTCTTTCCCTTTCCCTTTCCCTTCTCTCTATCTCTCTCTCTCTCTCCTATTTATTTGTTGGCGGGGGGGGGGGGGAGGAGGCAAAAGCCCTTTGCCCACGTTTCCCTCTTTTCTTCTTCTTCCTCTTCTTTCTTTCCTTTTATCTTCTCTTTCCCTTTCCCTTTCCCTTCTCTCTCTCCTATTCATTTGTTGGCGGGAGGCAAGAGCCCTTCGCCCCCGTTTCCCTCTTTTCTTTTTATTCTTCTTTCTCTTCTTTCTTTCCTTTTATATCCTCTTTCCCTTTCCCTTTCCCTTCTCTCTCTCTCTCTCTCTCTCTCCCTTTCGCCCTTCCCCCGTTTCCCTCTTTCCTTCTTCTTCTTCTTTCTTTCCTTTTATATTTTATTTCCCTTTCCCTTTCCCTTCTCTCTATCTCTCTCTCTCTCTCTCTCTACTATTTATTTGTTGGCGGGGGGGGGGGGGGGGAGGAGGCAAAAGCCCTTTGCCCCCGTTTCCCTCTTTTCTTCTTCTTCTTCCTCTTCTTTCTTTCCTTTTATCTTCTCTTTCCCTTTCCCTTTCCCTTCTCTCTCTCTCTGATTTATTTTTTGGCGGGGGGGGGGGGCAAGAGTCCTTCGCCCCCCCCGTCTCTTCTCTTCTTATTCTTCTTTCTTTCCTTTTATCTTCCCTTTCCCTTTTTTCCTTCTCTCTGTCTCCCCCATCAAAGAGACCACTCTGTAATCAAGACCATTCCATTTTATTTAATACATTTTCGATATACTTAAATTGGCAACTATTACCTTCTGTCCGAGATGCTCATTTTAAACGACTGATGCGAAAGACTAGTCGACGCACCCTTTCGAGAAAAGCCCCCCCGCTTTCATCGAAAGGGTGTGTTAAAACGGTACTCCGCTCTCAACGCACCCTTTCGAGAAAAGGCCCCCCTCTTTTATCGAATGGGTGCGTTGAGCACACCACACCGCGCCGCACCGCACCGCACCCTTTCGATGAAAGCCCCGTGCACCTATCTTAGGCCATTTGTCTAGCCTATCACGAAAGGCATTGAAGATGGTGAACTGATCACCACATAAATCATCTAACGTAGTTCCTTGCATCATACTACCGGTAGGCAGCATCGTTACCCAACAAAGAAAATCAGTTCCTTCGGTTAGATCATACTGTGCATGCATTAATTTTTACCATATGCACAGGACTGCATTTTGGTGATAACAACCATGCAAAACAGTGCAATGACCCATTTTATAGAACAAATAATATGCAGGTTTTTGTTCGTGACGTTATGGCGATGCGCCGCTATTCACAATGGCACAAAATGCACTAAAAAAAAGATGTTGTATTGCCCTTTGCGACCGACCCCCAAATCTTGAAATTTATGGTCGGTTTTATTTTTACCGTTTGTTAGAAGAAAAAAATGTATTAAAGCATTAAAAACTGAGAAATATCAGCCCATCGAGGGAGTAAAAAAAAACAAAAAAATATCTCCAACCGACCCACCCACCCATGTTTTGGCACCTAAAGGGCAATAGAACATCTTTTTTTGTTACCGGTAGGTCCAATGCACCCACACCTGTGTATTATAATACTGTAGCAAACGTTTAATGTTGATTGTTGCCTTATTCTAGCTTTAATTGCTTATGAAGGTTTATGTCCGTTTATGTCTAATTGTGAATGTAATAGCATACATGTATGTGCTCTTCTTTGCAATGTATATTTCAACCTTCTTTTCAGTAATGTGAATTATTGTAAAGTTATCAAGTGTCTTTTCATTTATGTATGAAATAAAACTATATATGCTCCAATAATGATATCGTATTTGATGGAATAAATAAAATCCAAAAATATTTTTGAAACGTTTGTTTGCTTTTTGCTTTGTAACGTCTTGGCAAAGTGTTATTGTTAATGTGCAAAATCTTTGGTCATTATAGTGATGCCCAGACTGTAAGAAAAATACTGTTTGATAACTGTTCAACAGTAAATATAAAATGAAATGAATTTTAGTTGTGTAAGTCATTTAAATTTCTATAAAATCTTTTCCATACATAGAAAACTTATATTCAGTGTGAAACTGTCAGAAAGAAAGAAAGAACACAACTTGGGCTCATGGAATCGTGGGTCTGAAAGAAACAGGTGGAAGTGGGAGAGAGAAGTGGATTGAAGTGGATGGATGGGTCATGTGTTGAGAGGGGAAGATAATGAACCTGTGAAGAGAGCGTTGGATCTGGAAGTGGACAGCATAACAGGGAAAGGAAGACCAAATAATTCATGGAAAGGTTGGTCCATCAAAATGAGGATGCATGAAACAAGAAGAAGTGGAAGGAGAGAGTGTCATCATGGCGCAGAAGTCAGTAACTCCTCATAAGAGGGAAAATGCTGACCCAGCTAAATGATGATGAATGATAATGAAGGCAAGTTCAAGGCAATTTTTTCTCCATGCATGCATCCCTAATTCCATTAATTTTTTTAATGTACTTGGAAGCCACTGGAAGCCAGTGTAGTGCATATATTAGTACAAACCATCAAGAAAGATCAAGTGAGAAGAGAAATTGTGTTCAGGTGTTTTATTGCTCCATATAAATACAGTTTCAATAAACACAGCATAATACATGTCATACCATTGCTCTCAAATATACATAGAGAACAAGCACCAAAATAACCCCCTGGGCCCTATTTCATAATTTTTTTTCTTTTTTCTTGAAACAGGTTACAATAACTGATATCAGATACTTATATTTCTGCACTCGATTGGCTACAAGAGAGTATACATTTATCTTATTGAATCGTGCCATTTTAGGTTTTCATGAAACCAGACACCGACCATTACAATCTTAATACACTGTTCAACAAATTTATCAATCCCTGTCCAGTTTTTCTTACCATTCCAAAGAATTATTTGTGCGTGGACAAGTACAAAATATATTCCCATTTTAATATTTAAAAAACATTTACAGCTTCCACATAAATTGACTCATCTTTTACACCATACTGTATATATATTGTAGGTACAAGTGACCACTATTATGAAAAAGTGAGTAGCATGAAACATGTACATCGTAATGGTGACAATGATTACTATGGAACATTTGCGTGGTGGGAGGGATTCGTTCTAAAATATTGGCTGTATTCCCCAGTGGTATGATCTGCTTTGAGATGTGCACAAGAATGGAAAACAGGAACAAATATATATAATTATGTTACAGGAGGGATGAGAACATGCAACGTTCAATTTACATGAAGCAAATCCATCACCAGGTCATTTTCTGGCCAACGTGAGTACACCTTCATTCTTTTCTTGTAAGTTATATGACTGGCAAGAAGATAAAACAAACTTCAGAAAACAGACACCGAGTTAAATGAAACCTTGCCCTGCATCCTTCCAAGTTCCAACATCACTCAACAATACTGTCCTATACGATGGGCATACCAATTCCCTTCATACACCAAAAGAAGGTACCGGGTACATGTCAAAGATTATTGTCCAATCTGTCAAAACTGCAGACATAGAGCATCACATACATACATTATAATCTCATGTATTTATTTCATATCATTCAAAGCACTTCCTTTGTCTAATTTTACATGGTTGGATTAACCCCCTATTCCCAATCCCAGTCCAGAAAAAAAAGATATCAAAATATTTTAGCCTCTGCAAGTAGTTTATAAAGGGATTTGCTGAAGTGGTCAATGTCGATAGAAAATCTCATATGACTAGACTGAACTCTTAATCATTTGAAAGTATTGCACCTTTCCTGGTGCACTTAGAAATAAAAGTATATTCTAAGCAAATAACTACTGTTGGTGAAGGTGATGGGACAAACTATCACTTCCGAGGCGATCTGATGTAGCTATCTTTCCGAAGATTCAGATCGCCAAGGAAGTGATAGTTTGCCATCGCCTAAAACCAAAAGGTGATTATTTGCTTTATATTCCACATCAGAAACATTTCACTTCTTCCATCATTTTAGAGCAACAAGTCATCAATTATCAGCTAGCAAACGGTGTATGAAACGTGCAGTGCATGTAGGTGTGACGTGACCATATAGTTCGCGCATGGCCAAAGTTTGCGTACTAACACTAAAAGCGCTTACCATAAAGAGGAGAGCAATACGCAGCGTATACAATTACATTAGTGTGTTGCCCTGTGTAGATAGGACTTCCATCTTTAGTGAAAGTGCGTTGCCCTGTGTAGATAGGAGCCTATCTACACAGTGTAACAAACTTTTCGCTTCTCCCAGCAATGATGGGTGAACTCTCTTTCATCATGTGATTTACTTTTTACCAATCGTAGAGCAAGATTCTTAATATGTAGAATATAATAAGTAATACCTTCTGGTATAAAACTCTCTTGATTCAACAAATGGGCCAAATTGGATTCTATACAGGTCCACATTGATTAACAATTCACCAAAGATAATTATTTGATTAAACTAGGACCATTTTCCACTTCTGGGTATCAAAGTAGATAATATTACAGATTTCAAAGATGAAACATGATGGGAACTTCAAATGCTATAATATTCATTGTTCACTATCTTACAAGGTTTGCAAATAAATGTAGATGAAAAGTGACCGAAAATAATACATTGTGCCTCAATGATGCTGATATAATATATTTTTTGGCAAACATACAAATATATTACTTTAATAGTTTACTTGTGATATACTATCCCTTAAACCTTTTGGAATTAAAATTCAATTCAAATATCAAGAATTATTCAAAAGAACTGGGAAAAGGATACTGAACAATCATTTCCCTGTTGAATAATTTGACATATAACTAATGAAAATTACCCCAATTTACTCCTAAAAGTTCTCATGTTACTATAGGTCAGAATGGCATAGAACAGGAATAATTTTCGAAAGTTACAGACATGTCTTCTTTTTTTAAGCAAGGAAGAAGACTTTTTCTTTCAAAGATATGAAAACGGTAAGCATCACTTCTGGATTACGAAAGAACACCTATCTATTTCAATTTATATTCAACCAATTTTATGGTACACACTAAAATCTGTTTGCAAAAACAATATATATTTCATCCCCCTGCATATCATCTCCAGCACATCAACTCCTAGTTACCTAATGTTCTCAGAAGTATATACTTATCTTGTAAGTATCCCCCAAACAATAAAACCTGCAGCAAATAGCACTATTCACAACTGTAGACTTTCGGCATCAACCAGGGGTGGTAACCTTCCAAAAAGACTGTTGATGGCATTACATTAAGCTATCAAAGAGTGATTACCCACTCGCAAGCAATGCCATCTTCTCCTTCCAATAAACATTTCTTCCAGGAATTGGCTTGGGAAGGTCTACCTCTGCACTTCTAAGAGAAGCTCATTGGTTTTCCAGAAGTTTGTGAATACATATATGTGAACTCCTTCACTGTGAGACATGGACAACCTTTAACCTGTTGGATATATGACTTGAGTTTGAAATAACAAGCATGTTCTGTGGCTAACATATATCTTGAGCCTCATATTCAACGGATTAATTCTCTTTCTTCTCCTGTTCTTGAGCCTTAGCTTCTTGTTTGTCTGCTTTCTTCTGTGATTTACTCTTTGTACTCGCAAACAGTCTGTCCAGGTCAAAGTCACGGATAATGTCCGCCTGTTGGTGACAAGGAAAGGGGGAAAAATAACAATAAGAGAATGCTATGCCAACTTTCTCATTTGATAGTAGATCAAACAGTGTAACTGAATATTTTTATCATAAAACCCTGTGATATTTCACACTAGGCCATTCAAAATCTAATCATTTTCAACACAACTAACTACAAGTATACAAATGATGCATACGCATGAGTTCATTGTACGATCTATCCACACTCGAGTTGAGGCTGTGTGTATCTATCCCACGAAGCCGTTAGGCTGAGTGCAATAGATACACACAGCATCAACAAGGGCCGATAGACTCTATAATGAACGAATGAAAACGTGCATCATTTGTTTTATACAATGAAACTCCTAGATCCTTGTTATTTGATGTAAAATGAATTCATTCAAGATTGTTTTGTGACAGATGGCTGACAAATAAATCTCAAGTTTTATAAGGCTTAATTTTGTGCGCATACATAGCTATAGATATATAGCAAGCGCACTAATTACCTCTATACCCATTTACGCATAGTGCTGCGCAAGAATAGGCTCATGCTCACGCAGTATTAACCTCTACGCGCACTACTGCGCTCTGAAAACGAGTTCAATAATACGGGAAAATATTGCACTCCTTTTCATGAAAACGAGAGCAATAGGCTCAGTAAATGAATCACACGTGACCACGCATGACCAATCATTTGATTAAGATCTGGGAGCGAGTTGTATAAAACATGATAACAATGAAAAGTGTGACTTTCAGGACATTTGATGGACCTTTCACTGTTTTCTATTTAAATCACAGAATTTTGCTGATACATAAATGAAAGTGAAATGTCTTCTAAACATTTACTTTAAGTGATCTATGAAAATTGTGTTTCTAATTAAAGCATTTGGACAGCTAAAACCCATGATAAATCACAGACATGTACAGTAAATCAATTTTCTTTACCTTCTTGAATTCATATCTGACAGTCTGACCGTTCTTGTTCCTTCCTGGTTTTCTCATCACCTCCTTGCCTCCTTGGAACAAGACCATTGTTGGAAGTTGCTTGGTGAGAGATGAACTATCCACTTGGAATCTATAATGGGAGAAAGAGAGAGAGAGAGAGAGAGAGAGAGAGAGAGAGAGAAGAGAGAGAAGAGAGAGAGAGAGAGAGAGGAAGAGAGAAAGAGAGGGGGAGAGAAAGAAAGAGAGAAAAAGAGGGTGAAAAGTTGTACTAGATATTTGGAACATTTATTAAAAAATCAAATAAAACTGGTAAGGATTCCTACATCATCACTCCAACAAGTAATAAAAAGTAATGAAATCATCTTTTAATCTTAAAAGATTTATGTTTCTTTTCTTTTCACTGATTTCAGTGACAATGTTTATCTTTTTAGCCCAAGGATTCATGAGAAAAAGCAGTGACTGATTGGCATTGTGAAATATTGGTTGCTCTTTGAATGTTTAATTTCTTACTTTTCATATTTTGGAACAATCAGAAAGTTAGCTTTGAATGCGAGTCATCCTGGGAGTGATTTCATATTGTAACAACATTTATTTCAGAATAAACAAAATTAATCAGAAAGTTGGTCATCCAAAATTAAAAAAACATGTTGCACTCATTTTACATTACAGGACTAAAAAGAAGAATAACAATTATATCTCCATTGAAATACTTACATTTCAGCTATTTCAGGATACCTGCCAACATCCAGCTTTCCAAATTTGAGATGATTGTGTGCATATGTTGTTGAGAGTTCTGCAAAGGTTGGTGCAATATTATGGCAGCTAGCTGACCATGTGGCCATAAACTCTACAATCCAGGTTGTCCTAGGGTTGTTCTTCAGTTCATCCTGTAAAAAATGCAATATCTCTTATAAGTCAGGAATGTTTTATTAGAAACTTTTCATTTTTAAGGTCTATAATGATTGAATTATCCTTGAATTTAATTGTAGACATGTTTGTCTTTGGAATGTAGACGAATAACATACTCAAGTTCAAGACAAGAGTGATTTTAGCATTGAAAAAGAGTGAAAATGATATTGATTTCAATAATCATCACATTAATAATTAAATATTATTTGCTTTTTTTAAAAGATAAAGACCAGTTATGGTCATGCGATTGCATTGTGAAAGAAACGTTGTGGAATCGATCAGAAAAGGTTGATCATCTAGCATATAAGTCTTGGTGTGTACTGCAAGGTTCTGGAATCATCAAAATGATATTAAATTTGGCCCAGTCTTCGTAAATTAGTTACAAGCACTGTACTCAGAAAGATGCATATGGGACTACGCACACGTGCGCGACACGGGCGTTTATCTCTCACAGTCTAATAGATAAACTAATTTACCAAATATATCAATTAGTAGGCGGTTTCCCGGCCAAATTTGTATCATCATGTATTAGTCAAAACATATTCTTTCACATGATTGGTAATAAAGAGCTTCCATTTCATTTTTTGAAATTGGGGCGTTTCCAATACTGGTCTTTACCTTTAAAACTTCTATTTTGTTATAGTTCCTCAGAGCTATAGCGAGAAATGAAATTCTCTAATAGCATTCTTTTTTTAAAATAAATTTGTTTACCCTTCATAAATATAACATTTTAAACTGTTTCTCTGCTAAAAAAGTATGAATAGTTGTAAAACCTTGGGCTAGCGTATATTTTTTTTCCTTAAATGATATTGTAATTTTCACTACAACAACTCATATTTCAAAGTCAATATCTTTCAACTTTGATAAAGTTGTCTGTCTTCTGTACAAGAATGACAAGAATGACCCAAACCAACCTGGAAGCTCATCTACGTGGCGGGTTGAGAATGGGTCTGAAATTCTCTAAATCCAAAGTGTTAACAAAGAATATTTTATGGCCTAACAGGAAGAGAGGAAATTAGGAATTACCTCTAATGCATCTCCTTTGAAGTAAACGATATCCTGTGGTCCGATATAGGCTGGCTCTGGGAAAACAACCATACATCCTACAAAAAGAGAATCAAGAAAAAATCATTAACGGATAGTAATGACTTGCTTTTCGTTACTGGTGCTAGGTTTTCTCTTAGTTACAGTGCAAATAGATACAAAATACATGTTATACCAACTTCGCAGAATAACTGAATGGCTACTTATACATTAAGCTCTAAACTATCAAGTATTGCCCTTTTCCTTATTTATTATTACATTTTTAAGATTCATTTCTGAAACAAGGGTTGGATTTTCTGATAAAGAAGATTGTCTCATTGATTTTCTTAATTACATCCAGTAATGGCCATTCATGTATATCAAAATCAAATGACTTCATGGTTGTTCATTCAACTATTTAATCAGACTTCATAACAAAATTTAGGAACATTTCCAATTTCAGAATGAGATGATATTCTTCTCCTATGGCCCCACCTTCCCCCCAAATATTTGCACTAATTTGCCTGAAGTCACTACCTAAAACCTCATGATGGGGCTTGAAATCAACTACAACAAATCCACATTTACTTTAAAATCCACTCATAATATTGATTCTAAGAGTATATTTGTCCTGAATGGATCAAATAACACGAGTTAAAATGTTTTCCTATAGCTTTAAAAGCTTTAAACCTGGCTACCCCACAACAAACTCTGAAATATTCCACTATTCTGGTTGCTTATTCTTAGCATTTAGGTAAACTGACCACCACTACTAATACTACTACTATAACCCTGCCTTCCCCTTTTTTTCGACCTGGGCAGCGTTTCATGAAGCCATCATAAGTACAAGTTCACCGACATCCCATTGAAACGCACCCTCTCTCTCTACCGATGCATTTATGCCCAGTAGGGCCCTGCATTGTACACATCCAGATCCAGATCCAGAACGTGGGTTAAACTTAATACACACATTTCTATGGGATGTCAGTGAACTTGTACTTATGATGGTTTCGTGAGACGCTGCCCTGAGTGCCATCATGAACACCAAGATTCCCTACCAATGCAGGCAGCAGCAAAGAGGATAGCCAGCCGAGGGTCAGTCATGCAGAAGAGAATGGTGTTGGCGACCTTGAAGAACATGAAGACCTTGACTACAAGTTCCTTCAGGGGCGGTCTCTTTCGGTTCTTGATAGCGATGGTACAGGCAAGGAAGAGGAGAATGTTTGACTCGTTCTGTAAGAGACAATCGCACAAGAAAATAGTTCAAAATCATTTTGGCCAAGCATGAGATGAATTTAGATGCATGAAATGAATCTTCCCTTAGACTAGTAGGAGATCATGGCATTTATATTTAGAGATGTCTAAAGCTGTCAATTCATAGTTACTGCTAGTAAATTACTAATTTTCTTTCAAATTATCATTTATTTACTTCAGAACAAGAGAATGAAAAGTGACATATTTTCAGCAGAGATGAATTTACCCCCAAAATGGTGCCACTTTTTTTTTCCCTGAATCAGCACATTTTATGCCAACAACACTCAACAACAGAATTCAGTCTAAATTAACAAACCACACACCACTAGAAACTCACTCATGACAAACACAATTTCAAATGCCCACCGAGATTCTATCTCTATTCCTAGGCAATAACATGAACAAATTCCTGGCAACATGGCCAAGTTAAGTTTAATACATGGCCTGACATGGCACAAAGAGCGAGAAAAAAAACCTACATAGATTGCTACACGTGGGGCAATAGTTAAGTTGCTTACCCAGTTGAAAGTGCATTCTTTGGTATCATACTCGGTCAGCGGGAATATGGTACAAAATGGTCTCACAGTTCTCAAAACTATGAATGAGATTGTTAAAATGAAATTCACAACGTGGTATGAACTACAGTAGTGCCTGTATTGCATTAATTTCAACATTTTGGCAGGATTCTCGAGCAGTACAATGTATCCGATATTCCTTGTTAGAGGTAGAGGACGCGGACGTACATTTAGAAGTGAGAGAAAAAAAAATATTTGGCAGATATCTATCATCAGGCGCGGATCCAGGATTTTCCAATAGGGGGGGGCCGGAAATTTGAAAATTGCGCAGACCATTTTTTCAACTCAACATACCAATACTGACAAGGTCATATTAGAAGCACGATACCGGTAGAATTTTTTGACATTTTCATCGGGGGGGGGGGGGGGGGGGGGGGGGGGGGCTATAGCCTCTTGCCCGGATGGTAATTTTGGTTTCACGATTCGAAATAGTGAGCGAGAGCGAGCGAGCGAGCAACAATAATTTGTGAAAGTGTTATTTATCACCAAAATAAACGAGAAAAGATATCAAAAACTCATATTCGGGCAGCTCGCTGTCCCCCCCCCCCCCCTCCATTACGCGCGAAGCGCGGAAGCTTTGACCCTTCATTAATTGTTACTAGAGAAGGAAGACGATTTGTTGTACCATTCTCGACTCTTAATCCTTGTCTAAATTCAGTTTCCGCCCCGCCCGCGCGAAGCGCGGAAGCTTTGGCCTTTCATTAATTATTAGAGAAAGAAGAAGATTTGTTGTACCATTCTCGACTCTTATTACTTGACTGAATTCAGCCCCCCCCCCCCTTCCCGCGCGAAGCACGGAAACTTAGGCTTTTCATAGTTTAATGAAATTATTAGAGAACGATGATTCGTTGTTCCATTTTCGACCATTAATCCTTCTCTGAATTAAGTCCCCCCCCCCCCCCCCCCTCCCGCGCGAAGCGCGGAAGCTTTGGCGTTTCATTAAATTATAAGGGAAAGGAGACGATTCTTTGTATTATTCTCGAATTTTTATCCTTGTCTGAATTCAGTTTTCCCCAGGCCCCCCAAGCTCCGCCATTTTGTCCGGATCCATTAGAAGCCAAAATAAGCCCCCTTGCATAATTCATGAGCCTTATGAATTATGCATTCTGTAGGATGCTCCCCGCGAAAAGTGTACTGTAATGATGTTTACTACATGGTAAAAGACAATACGCGTATCAGCATAATCAGAGAGGTCAAATAATCTACTGTACGGAATTATGGGTAATTTATTCATCACGCTGCGCGCTAGCAACGCAAGTGATTCAGCGAATCAGCGTGGATTATTCTGATGCGATCACCGTTGGGTGAAATACGCGCTCGAACTTGTATTATCGATCACCAGTATAACAGCTGGTGTACCCAGGATGCATCGGGAAGTGGACCTTAAAAATTCCACTCGTTGTGTTGTTGTTGTTTTTAAAGTTTTAATGGCGTGTATCATTCATAATATGAATATCTACGCCGACTAACTGAGCCTTTGAAAACATAATTACACCTCTACTTATTAATATTCCAGCATAAAATTTTTCTGAAAATCTCTTTGTTGACCAAAAAATGATAACCATCCATTTTTCACAGATCTCAAGCTTGCTAAGCTCCACCCCTCATACCCAGAATGCATCGCAATATGGGGGAGTGGCCTTAACTTCATTGAATAAGAAATACTGATATTCTTAATGTCTCGATCTTATTCCCTTTTTAGTCTATCAATAACTGGGTCTGTTTTTGTTTTATTAAATAAAACATGCTATAAGCCATATAACAACACATTCTCTGGCTATGATTATACATTTTAAATATACTAATGTATAAAGTTTCCTTATTTTAGACAAACAAATTATGTGGCACAGTGGATGGTTTTTCTCCACCCACTCTCATCGTACCTTAATGATTCCCTTTCTCTCTCTTTCTCTGGCTTTCGTAAATTATCTTCTGCAACTAACGGTTTGTTGTCTTGACTGCAGGCACGTAGCCAGACTTTGATGTTTGGGGGGGGGGGGGGGGGCACAGGGCACATACAGTAATCGATCGAGGTAAAAAAAAGGGGTCTAAAAAAGTTCAACCGATCGTGGAATTTTCTTTTTTTTGGGGGGGGGGGGCACGTGCCCCCCCCCCCCCCCGTGGCTACGTGCCTGCTTGACTGAACAACCTGTTGCAGTTCCATTCTGTCTCACTTTCAGTCGTAGTTGTTATTACCACTCATTTACGTTTACTCGTTATCAACTACGATCAACCATTCCATATTCACTCCATTACTGTACACATTTCACTTGGATTAACTTCACTTTTCCTTTTTGCAGCCTTTGCAGGAGCTTTGAACATGTTTAATGTAGAGACCAGAGAGATCGGAAAATATGTTAATCATTTTATTCAAATTTTCTAACTTGAAAACGGAAAGTGAAACATTGTTTTTCAACATCTTGACATAATTTTTGTTTAAAGACAATGGAATTTAACGCTGGAAATTTTGAATTGGGTTGCCCCCCTCCCCCCCCCCCCCCCAAAAAAAAAAAAACAACAACAGCAACAAAACAACAACCCAGAAGTGGTTTGTTAGTTAGGAGGCCCATGTCCTTTATAATTTTATTTTTAAGAATAGTTTTCTCTTTTTTTATTAATTTTACATTGTATACCATTAATTTCACTGGGAAAACCACCCCATTCCCTTACACATCAATACTGCCGTTACTTCTAGCAACAGTAATTCTATAATTCAAAACGTTTTCATTTTCTAAATCCTTCTAATATAAACATATAACAAATATAATATTGTTTACACTTTTGCAACCTGTTACATGGTCCATGTAGAAACAGCACCAGGAAGAGGATAACAAGCCCCCCCCCCCCCCCCCCCCCCCCCCCGTTTTCTTAAGCTAGGAAGTATCAAAACATGATTCTATTAAAATTAGCAGTTTGGATACAAAAGGCAATGATGATTAGCAGTTTCCATATTTAGTGCATTTAGAGGGTTGTCTTTCAAACCTTCTTACATACAATACTTGAAGCAGCAATAATGTAATAATCTACAAAACTTCAAATACAGAAGTCCATAGACTGAGGTAAATGAATTTCAACATGTATAATTATAATTAAAATATCATTGATTAATTCAATCTTTGATATAGACTGATAGATATTTATCACTCAAATTTCAAGGAAATTTCTTTCTGCCCAGCCCTCAGTTTCATCCTATAAGATGGTAGTTGACATTGTTAAAATGTTAGTGTTTATTCATTGATGATTAGTTATCTTTAATTATTTGAAAGTTGACAAGATGATAAATTCATTAGCTTTTTTTAATGTGGTATTCTACAAACATATAATACAAATAATAAATAAATAGTATGTAAATATTCAAGTTTAAACCCATCTCTACTGTCCTCTTTCATTATATGAGGGTGGCATCTTTAAGACGTAGTCCCATGTAGATGTCTTCTGCATTCATCAATGAAGTTGTAGGCTAGTTTTCAGAAGAAAGGGCTGTGATGATAACCCAAGTCTGTTGAATGGAAAATGAAATAAGATACAGTGTATAAGAAAATAAAGAACAACTAATAACATGCACCCTGATACCTGCTCTGACAAAAAGAGGAAGGACTAATATTCACTTGGGATTCTAGTGGGCAAACCTAAACTATTTTCCTACAAGACTAGTTACTGACCACATGTTAGATTATTTCTGATGATCCCATTAAGACAATAGGTCTGATGGAGCTTGGATCAGACAAGTATGAAATAAGTAATACCGGTACATGTACAATGTACTTGTAATGTAAACTCGCGGTCAAAATTGAATAATACTCGGTTAAAGGTAAAGACCAGTTATGGTCATGCGATTGAATTGTGAAAGAAACGTTGTGGAATCGATCAGAAAAGGTTGATCATCTAGCATCTAGCATCTGCAAGGTTCTGGAATCATCAAAATGATAAGACATTTGGCCCATTCTTTCGTAAAGTTACAAGCACTATACACAGAAATATGTATATGGGACTACCCTATATCTCTCACAGGACCATGAGAGAAACAAATTTACCAAATATATGAATTAGTAGGCGGTTTCCCGGCAAATTTTTTATCATCATGCATGTATTAGTCAAAACATATTCTTTCACATGATTGGTAATGAGAGCTTCCATTTCATTTTTTGAAATTAGGGCGTTACCAATACTGGTCTTTACCTTTAAGTATGGGACATAAAATGACCCAACAACTTGGACCAGTGAATGTGCTGGAAATAATGCTACTGAAGCATACGTAATGTAGACTTATATTTCATCTATTTCGACATTTTATTTTAAATCTAAATCACAATTTTGATATGCAGTCAAGTATTCTTTTACAAGTAACGGACAATGAAAAATATCTTTGTCAGATCTATAACTTTCTGCATGATATGTGTTCTACAATAGTTTATTGGGGGTACCTACATTGTATATTAGCACACTTGCTCGTATGAAGTGTAGTAGGCCCACATTTCTAGATATGATTCTGTCAATATCTGTTCTTTGTTCCTCTCCTGGGTTTGTAACCAGCATGCCTTCATCATCCACCGTAGAGAAGCATCATCCTACATAAGAGAAAACAATGTAGGTACTTCAATTAAAAAGTGATAATAATAGATACATATCAACCATAATACATCCTATAAACAGACTTTCATTAATCTTATTTTGTGTTCTTCTTCATCTTCATGGCTCAATAAGTGAAAGGACCACTTACAAAAAAAAAGTAATGAGGGGTCCTGTGTATACCCTACATGTATGATCATGGAGTGCCTTGAATGTGCATTAGACATTGTTCTTCTACACACAGGACCTCCTGTAAATAAGGACAAATTCCCTTTGTAAACAAAGAAAGGAAAGATATCAATATTTGTGTGCTAAGTGCAGAACTAGAATAAAATATACCCTCCACTTTATACGCTTGCAACATAAACTTAGTTCCATTTCCTTTTTAGTGAATTAATACGTGGTCGTTTAATATTTGTGTGCTAAATATCCTGAAAATGTTACCTGCATGGCATTTTCAGCTTCATCTTGCATATATAAGAAATGCTGTAATGTCTACTCATCAGTTAACTCCTTCCAGCTTGATCTTCATCAGTTTCAATCTGTTGGAACAAAAAGAAAACAAAATCAATATGACAATCAAGGCGTCACTTTCTCCTTAACAAAATAAAAATAGATCTAGCATAAAA